TATCCTATGGAATCTGGGGATAATAATAATAATAATAATAATAATAATAATAATAATAAATTATTTTTATCTCACCCCTCTGCAATGCAATCGGGACAGTTTACAGTATTAAAACCAAAATAAAATACATACAAAACCCAAAACCTTCCCACCCCTTAAAAATATATTAAACAAAGAATGATATAATATTTAATAACATAACAATCATAACAACAGCAGCACAAAAAGGGAGGAGAAGGATTTGTTGTTTGCTGCCGAGCCAGAGTTTTGTGCGATATTTAGAAGGCGAAATATCGCACAAAACTACGAATCCTAGAGAAACTCACACTCACCAACCCAACACATACACACACACACACCTATGGATTAAGCCACCCACCTGGCCAGCATTGACTTGCGGAAGAAATCATGTTGCCCAGGATGAAACCTGCTTGCAATAAGCCAACATCTGTTGGCCTAGAAGCCAGTTGCCCTGAACATACTCTGAATCATTTGCTTGATATGAGCTCTGCCCATGGATGGCATGAAGGCGCTCAGCATGATATTTTAATCTTACCAGGAAGGTAGGTTCACCTGGGGCTGACCTGCCAAAGAGGTTACCCTTTATGCTTTCGGGAAAGTAAGGATTTAAACTCTGATTTCCTACAAATCCAAGGGTGTGACAGTTGTTCTGTCTGGGAGATTGGGGGCAAAAAGACACAGCTGCTAGACTATTGAGCTGCCTGCGATGAGAGTGTTGAGTGCCTTCATAACATGATATATAGTATATACCATGAGCCCAGAATTATATTTATTGACTATGATCAAAGGTGATATAGGGCCTTTGCAGACTGCCAGAAATAGTGCAAATTGAGTCCACTTTAAGGATTTGGGTTAGGGTTAGGGAATCATGGGAACTGTAGTTTATTGTGGCACCGGAGCTCTCTGACAGAGAAGGCTCAATGTCTCAGAAAAAAAAAAATACAATTCCCATGATTCCCTAGCACTAACCCTAACCCTTAAAGTGGACTCAATTTGCACTATTTCTGGCAGTCTGCAAAAGCCTATAGAGAAGCAAAAGGAAAGAATCCTATACTATATGGTAACAGCAGCTAGATTAGAATATGCAAAAATTTGGAAAAAAATAATTTATACCCACCATGCAAGATTGGATGACAAAATTAATAGATTTAGCTGAGATGGATAAACTTGATGCGTCCTGATGAAAGAAAATAAAGTAGAAACTTTTATACAGAGCTGGGAGCAAGTAGTAAATTTTGTAAGCAAAGAATGGGGGGAAATAATGACAATGGGTTTTAAAGATGAAATGGAAATTAAAGCAGATTACAACAGGTATATAAAACATACAGATTAAAGTTAATTTAAACAAGTTTAAGATGATACAACACCAGAGTCCTGTCCTATGAGAGCCTTGGAAAAGTTCCTTCGGGACTACAGGTTCCAGAATCCCCATGATGCTTTGGGGATACTGTGAATTTATTATTATTATTATTATTATTATTATTATTATTATTATCATCATCATCCCACCCTTTCCCCAAAACTGGGACTCACAGCTGCTTACACAATTAAAAAAAAAGGGCAATTAAAAACATAGAGAAGTGTTACATTCAAACAGAATTAAAGTATTACAACATTAAAACAGATTGCGTATAAAAGAACAAAACATAGTTTAAAAGATAAAAAGCATTTAAAATACTTTAAAAGAAGACGACACCCAGCCCGTTCTTTAAAGACTTTCTGGGTTGGTTTGTTTTTTAATGGGGATTCTGGAAGCTGTAGTCCTGACGGAGCTTTTGCAAGGCCCATGTAGGACAGGGCACATCCTCCAAGGAAATGGCCAAGCGATTTAGGAGGTTGTTCTTCTAAAGGTGGGATATAAATAAAAAAATTTATTATTATTATTATTATTATTATTATTATTATTATTATCCTGCATCTGCCACCTGAGGCGGTCGCCTCACCCTGCTGAACAGTGCAACTTCTCTTGGAGGAAAGCGTATAGATGAGAATGCAAAAAAGGATCAGGAAAGTACAAGTGAGCTTTTGCAATTCCTTGAACATCCGGAGTGCAAGGACTCAATGCGAATTACCAAGGATCCAACTTTAGACTCTCCTGGAATGACCTCCTGGCTTGGACCCAACTGAACGCTAGTTTATAACCGTATTAGAAAAAGAGACAGATAGCATCATCCTGGTTGAAAGCAAAAACCTAGGTACCAGCAGCCACTTATGCATGTCAGTTTCCCCACCCCAAAGAAAATATATTTCTAGCAAGAAGAGCGCTCAGAAAAAGGACCCGGGTTTCTATCAAAGATGTATATGCCAACTTGTATACCTTGTTGTTGTTGTTGCTGTGTGTCTCCAAGTCATTATTGACTTATTGCAACCCTAAGGCAACCCTGGCATAGGGTTTTCTTGCAAAATTTCTTCAGAGGGGGTTTGCCACTGCCATCCCATGAGGCTGAGAGTATGTGACTGGCCCAAGGCACCCGGTGGGTTTCGTGGCCGAACGGGGAATCGAAACCTGGTCTCCAAAGTCATAGGTCAACACTCAAACCACAATGCCATGCTGGTTCTCAGAGGAGGTACACCGTTGACTTCCACTGAGGCTGAGAGAGTGTGATAGTCAGTGGGTTTCCATGGCTGAGTGAGGATTCAAGCCCTGATTTTGGGAGTCCTAGTCCAACCTTTAGACTCCTAAACCACCCTCGTTCTGTTCAAATATTGGCAGATTTGGAATTGCACAGCTTCTGGACCCTAGATTGCTCTCACGTATAATAATAATAATAATAATAATAATAATAATAATAATAATAATAATAATAAAATTTTTATTTATAGCCCATCTCTCCCCAAAGGATCAATTACAACAGTACAATTATAAAACAACATGATAAAATAACATGACCCCCTTACCCCCAATTCAAACTAACACTGCATCATTAAATACATTCAATGAATAAAATTAAGTAAATTAGACATAATTACAGTGCGGCGTCATGGGACGGACAAAGACACATACACCCTCAATCCACCCCCAAAACTGAAAAAATGTAGTCTAAAAATGATCACTCAGGCTTCAGAAGCCCCAAAGGTCATGCTTGTTCTTTAAAGACTATTTTGATCCAGGAGCTGATGATGGGTCCCATGTCAGTAAAGTGAGGAATCCATTCAGATTTTCAGAAAAGGAGTTATCCATGGTCCTGAACTTATTTAGGAATTCATTGTTTTACAGACATGGGAACTACAGGCCCTATTGTTTTGATCCCATCACTTTTAGACTCTGAAAAGAGGCCAGGCGTACCCTCATGAAACCCACTGGAAGACCTTGGGCAAGTCACACTCTCTCAGCCTGAAATGTATGGGGTGTGTGTGCTGTTTGCCTTCAAGTCATTCCCGACTTATGGCGACCCTAAGGTTTTCTTGGCAAGATTTGTCATGGGGTTTTCATGGGGTTTTCTTGGCAAGATTTGTTCAGAGGTGGTTTGCCGTTGCCTTCCCCTGAGGCTGAGAGAGTATGACCTGCCCAAGGTCATCCAGTGGGTTTCAGGGCCAAGCAGGGAATCGAACCCTAGTCTCCCAGAATCCTAGTCCAACACTCAAACCACTGGTGCCATGCTGGCTCGAAAGGTGTTCCTCTCTTTAAAAAGCTCACTTGGTCACTCCGTGATCAAACATGCGTGCCAAGTTGGGTGACCTTGGGCAAGTCACACTCTCTCAGCCTCAGAGGATGGCAATGGCAAACCCTGCCAAGAAAACTCCTTAACAGATTCGCCTTAGGGTGGCCATAAGTCAGAAAGGTCTTGAAGGCACACAACAACAACTACAACATACGTAGCTCTTACGGTTGAGATGTTTTTCCCAAAAGTTTAGGCAGAATCTGTTTTCTTCTCATTTGAAACCATTGATTCATAGCTTAGTCTCTGGGGCAGCAGAAAACAAGCTTGCTCCATATTTGACAGGAAAGCCCTTCCGTTATTTCGAGGGGGGGCAATATGAAAACATATGCACATTAAAGGAAATTATTAAAACTAGATTGTTCTCTTGGGGGTAGAAGGGAGATAGTACTTTTTAAAAAGTGCATGCTGTATAGGAAGATTTTGGAATTTAATTCCAGGTTGTTGTTTTTTGCATATGTGTGTGTGTGTTTTAGTAAATGAGTACATCCTATCTCTAGATCAGTGTATCCAGTGAAAGGTATAAATTGAGATCATTTTATGGCAAATTCTTGCCATAGAGGAAATCAAATGTATTTTTTAAAAAAGAGTTTCTGTCTATGCACTCAGAATATGAGACAGAAAGCCATGGCATGAGATAGCTGTATCTCATGGCATTGAGATAACTGTATGGCAAATTCTTGACATAGAGGAAATCAAACTTATATTTTTTAAAAAGAGGTTCTGTCTGTGCACTCAGAATATGAGACGGAGGGCCATGGCATGAGATAGATAGCCTTCTAGCTCATATTTTGAGTGCACAGACAGAACCTTTTAAAAAATAAATTTAATTTCC